CACTCTGCTCTTACTGGTGCAATGTGCAATCAATGAAGACTGGCTACCAGGCTGGTCCAATTTAGCCATGAAACCTCCCACACTAAAATGACAGGTGTTTCAGTTTCATTGTCCAACCCCTGTTTGTGTGTGTGTCTGTGTATATATATATATATATATATATATATTAGGACTTGAAAAACGTATAGAAAATCCATAATATCATGAAAGACTAATAAGTGTAATCTAAGTGTAATCAAGGGGCGAAAGCTGTGATCACCTCTTTTTCCGGCTGAGATGTTTTAGATCCACTTCTTCTTGCCACAATACGCAACCTGAGACTCAACGGCGTGGAAATGACGTCCCAACACAAGTTTAGGAAAGTCAGCCTATAAAGGATGGACAGTCCTTTCATTGCGCCGCCGAGTCCACAGGAGAAAGAGACAGACCTTACTGTAGACAGTACTTGGTAGACACCTTCAAGGGGTTCAGATCGCACACTTTATAAGGACTGAGGAGGACAGTTACCGGGTTGCAGCATTACACTAAGCCCCGACACAGAGGGGTGGATACAATCACACCCCTCCTGTGTTTCCTCGGGAGCTGCGTGGGGTGGACACACCAATGTGATCGAGGATCAGGGACCCTCAGGTGCAGAGAAACCAAACTGGCGGCACTCTTAGGATGCAGAAGTCACCGGTGGAAGATGCGAACTTCCTCTCTAAGTTTGTCTTTTGGTAAGAGATGCTTCTGCTTCATTCTTCGGTCTGTAATTGTTGTCACGACGATCAGCGAAATTCCTCAGTTTCATTCAGATGCTGGCTGAATGGGGCCAGCCAATCCTTTAATGTGGATTTATTAGCTGCGAAAGGATTTTCTAATAAAGGGACAGTTTTGCAACAAAAATACGTGTGTGCGTTAACTATCTTTATCAAAAGCAGGATTTTCACTAAAGAAGCGTTATTAATGACAGTTGTGCGTAATTCGAGGTGCGCTCCGACGATGCGGATTATTACAAGCAGGTGATGGCTGGGCTGCATTTTTGGGGATATAATCGCTATATAGGTGTTGGGAAACTTGACTCAAATGAAGAAAAAATCTGAGAAAGCCAGCTTCAGATAAAATCTTAAAAATAAAAACGTCACATTCCTTCAGAACTGCATATTTCACCTCCTCAAAGGTTCTTTTTTAGATATTTCTCACTCTTTGAAATATCTTACACTTTATTATGATATTTGTGTTTGTGTTTTATCAACTGATATTTTTCTTTTGATCAAAAAGAAATGACAGTAGTTTATCAGTATACTCTTCAGTAATGGGATGTCAGAAATAAGGAAGCAGACTTAAGATACACCATTGGTAAACACCAGATAAACTGGGTTAGATTACTTGTTGTAAATTATTCTGCACCAGGTAAACTCAAACATCTGATTTTAAACCTGCCATCAGTGGCAAAGGAAAACCTACTCATATTACAACTAAACATAGTTTACATTAAATGTTGAGGGCACTCCAATTTTTCCTGCCATAGTTTCTAACAACACGCTAAATTCAGCTAAAAACTAAAATATATGTACAAAATGTGCTTTATGGGATTTACTATGCATATGTCTCATTCCCTAGACTACAGAAAGCCTGACGTTCAGTCCTAGACTTCCTGAACAATTTAAATACATATTTGTTTATGATTTTGCAATCAGTTTTTGTGTGTTGAGCAATGTCTTTGAACTCTATTTATGGCTTCAAACAACTGATAGCCAACAATCTGTTTGCTCTGTGGTTTCCCCTCTAGGTGGATATCACCACTATTGAGGAAAGGTTTCACTAAAAAGTTGGAGCTGACCGATGTGTATAAGGTTCCTTCTTTTGATCTGGCAGACACCCTCTCCGAGAGACTTGAAAGGTTTGTACATCACAATATTTTTAGAAGTTTGTTGGACCATGGACACATCTAAAAGTTGCAGCACACCAGTCCTTGAGGCCTGGAGTTTGACACCTGTGGTTTAGACCAAACCATATTTGTATATTAGAATGGCCCAGTCAAAGTCCTGACTTAAACTGAGAGTCTGCGGTATGCCTTGTGAACTGCTGTTCACAGACACTCTCCATCCAGTCTGACAGAAGTTTCACTAACATGCACAGAAAGTAAACCTTTCAGTCTTTAGATGTCCAAAGCTGGTAGACACATCCTAAAAGACTGTCATTCCAGCAACAGGTGGCTCTACAAAGTATTGATTTAGGATGGCCGATTATGTATGCACAACACACGTTTCAGATTTTTAATTGTTAATAACTGTAAATTCCATCCTTTTCCTTTCACGTTACAATTATACAGTACATTGTGTTAGTGTATTTTACTGGGAGTTTATGTGATAAACTAAGAGCTGTAGTTATAATGTGAGGGAATGAAAAAAATTTCAAGGGTATGAATCATTTTTCAAGACACTTTACCCTATCTAGCAACATTATAAGGTACACTTAACTAGAACTAGTATTTGTGATTAAAATTGGTCTGGAGTGTGTATTTGTTCTGGAATGACACACGCAATAGGTGAAAGTTAACATTTTCTTTTGATTGTACTCATCTCCTCGTACTGTCTCACTCACCACTTCTCTTTCTTTTTGGTATATCTTATTTTTTTCTTGTTCTTTGCAAATAAGATTAGTAGAATTTTAAAATGACCTCATGAAGGGATTTTACTTATCATCAAATGTTAAAAACAATTGTTGGTGCACAAGGGTTGTTTCTTTTTGTGTTTTGTGCCCATCTTACATTCATGGTTTCTTTTTGTCTTAAGGTTTCCAGATTGCCCTTGTTGGAAAAAGAAAAAGCCCTATAATTTTGGAAGAGTTGGGTGCTTTTGAATTATTTATCAGATTTTATTCCCTGTGTTCATTGTTAAACTTCCCAAACAGCAGCAGTGACGTGGCGTCCCACATTGGCCTTGGACTTGCCGGTCTCCCAGGGGTGCTTATCACCTGAGTGATGCCAGCAGGCCAGCTAATATAGATGGGTGTTTAAATAGCCAACCATAACAAATGTCAGTGTCCCCACAGGGTGATAAATGAACAGTGGCATTTTTTTTTTTTTCTTTTTTAGTTTCAGCCTTCTGATCAGCAAACATTGAAGCCTTCTGGTAATGTGATATTTACCCTCCATAAAAATGTGCTTTTTACTATCAACTACTCCATCATCCATAGCTCAAGTCTTCTACTGTATTAAAAAGATTTACTAAATCAAGAACTGGAATAAAGTACAGGAAACTAAATATGAATGCAACTCATCTATATGTAAACCACCCCCTTTAATTTAGGTTTTTATCCCTCTGAATAAAAAAAAAAAAGAATTCGGTCCATAGAATATTATAGGGATCTAAGTTTTAACTCATGCGTGCAAAAATCTAAAAATATTAGACTGTCATTATTTATTAAACAAAGATAAAGCCAAAATGGAAAAGCTGTGTTAGAAAAACTAAGTACACCCCAAAATTCAGAGCCACCTTTAGCTGCAGTAACATGAAGTACTTGTTTCCCAAATGGCTTCATCAGGCTTTTCATTGTGGAGAAACTTTGGCCCACTTTTCTCCAAGTTTGCTTCAGTCCATTGAGGATTGCAAACATGTTTTATGCACTGCTACTTTAAGGTCCAACCATAACAATTCAGCCAGGTTGGGGTCTTGACTTTGACAGGGCTATTTGCATGTCTGCTTTTTGATTCAGTTGTGCTGTTCTAGATTTGCTGCCATGTTTAGGATCAGCTAAGTATTAGTAGTCGAATGAGCAGAGAACTTCATATTAAATTGTAAATGGACTGAACTTATATAGCGCTTTTCCAGTCATGCAGACCACTCAAAGTGCTTTACACTAGAGCCACATTCACCCAGTCGCACTCACTAACGCTCACACATTCATACACCGATACGCAGATTGGTAGGCAACTTGAGGTTAAGTGCCTTGCCCAGGAGAACATCAACATATGGCAGGAATCGAACCCACAACCTTCTGATTGCAAGACAACTACTCTTCCTACTGAGCCACATTAGACTCTAGAACAGAACACTTTGGTATAGTGAGGAGTTCATAGTCAGTTCGCCAAACATCTCTACCATGGTTTCGTCTGTCCAAAAACATTGTATCAGAAGTATTTGAGTTTATTCAGATTAACCTTTCTCCTGACAATCTTTGTATTTGCTAGGACATCCACTTCTGGGAAAATTGGAAGTTGTCCTACATGTTTTCCAGTTGTGAGTAACCTTAGGTGTTGAATGCTGAATGATTTTTTGGCATTGGCATGATAACTTTGTCCACATTGAGGGACAGCATTGGTTACATCTCGAAGGTTATTCCTGATGTCTTTCTACCCTGGTGTTGTAGTAACACATAGCTCAATACTCCTCATAACTGCTTTTATAATAGTTGTCCCACTTGATGATCAGTTAATCAGTTGGATTTGAGAAGCAAAACCCGGTTGCTATTTTTCTTCTTAAATTGTTTGGAAGCACCAGGGTTCTACCTTTTCACACACAATTTCTTCATCTTTGATTGCTTGATAAATAACAGCATGGAATCTGTCGTGTGTTTTTGCATGTTTGAGGTTGGATCATTATGACATTGAGTCTAAGTCAAATAATTATTTGTATTTAAGTCAGACAATATCTAGATCGCAAAAGTGTTCACTAATGAGGAATTTTATTTAGGAGGTTGAATCATTTTATGATTGCAGGAGTCATTGAAAGTACAATTCAGGGCTGAATTTGAATAAAATCTTTGTAATATTAGTTGTATTTCCATATTTAAACTGTTCGTGTGTCATTTGTTTATAGCAAACACAAGAAAAAAAAAGATAATTTTACCCATAGATCTTTGTAGTGGGAATTAAATAATTTTAGGTGCAGCAGTAATTGGAGTGTTCTCCCACCCACAGGAATAAGTGACTATTGATCCAGGCAGTGATATTGAACAATAAAACTTGGTAACCACTCGTTTTCACACCACAATATTCTTGTGATGACAAGAAAACATGAAAGAGGTCTCCAACTCCAGTCCTCAAGAGCCACTGTCCTGTAACCTTTCCAACACATCTGAATCAAATCGAAGGCTCACAACCAGGCAACCCGATGACACGAGGGAGTAATTCAGACATTTGATTCAGATATGTTCGAGCATTGGAATACATTTACATGGGACTGAATTTGGCAATATAATTGGATTGTATTACAATGAAGTTGGGCCTATAAAGATCAATATGAATTGCTTTGAAATAACATTTATTATAATCTTGTCAAGAAGGTGGTAGCATTTGGAGTAGGACCCAAACGCAGACAGGCAGGAGCAGAACGGTAAATAGAAAAAATGTTATAAACAAATGGCGAAAACTTACAGGTGTCGTGTTCTGTGGTTTAGAGTGACCAACGAGCAGACTAGAGCTAGGCAGCAGCATGTTTAGTGGAGTCTTCAGCTTTATTTCTAAGGTTCTTCCAAAACAAAGCAAAACATTGCAGGTACTTAACAAAGACGAAAAGTCCACAACTTACAAAATTGGCTTAGCAGGAACATGGTACAAAAAGCACATAGACATGGGTGGCGAACGGAAGGAACCAGCGAGGAACAAACAAAAACAGTGAGGTTATGAACAGAGGGAAGTGGANAAGTGGAGTATGGACCAATGAGAAACTGAGGCAGGTAATCAGATGAGATGGAATTCAGGTGTGGACCAGGTAGTAGAGAACTGAGGGAATGTGAATAGTTGCTCAGGTGACAAGGCTAGAAACAAAATGAAACATGAGGGAAGCTAGATAAGAACATAACCAAAAGAACCTGACTACAAAAACAAAACTATAAATAACAAAGCTCAAGGAAACAGAACTAAGAAAAACTATGGACGAACATAATAAACCAAAAGAGACATAAGAACCTAGAATAATCACTAACTAAAGTAAACCGAGAAACTAGAGGGAATAGAAGAAACGCCAAAACCTAATTATTAACAAAGAACCCAAAAGGAAACCCTGACCGTAAATAAACAAAACCTAATCCACAGAACGGGAACCAGGACGAGGAGGAACAAAGAAAATAAACTAGTAAACAAAGAGCGCAGTTGAACAATTACCAAAACATAAATAAACACAGATATACTAAATGGGAAACTAAACTAGAAACTACAAGGAAGACAAAGGAGCTAGAATACAACGAATATAATAATAGTCATAAGAAAACCATAACAAGTAATCGAAAAGAAACCACTAAAGGAACTTAGACATAACCCAAACTAAATGAAAGGTCGAAAACACAAGAACACAACAAAGACCAAAGATGTTGCTTCACAACATCACCCCCACCTTAAAAGGTCGGATTCCAGACGACCCTCAAAAAAGTCCACATACAAAAGTCCAAAAACAAAAATTACCCGACCAGGGCGGGTGGAGGGAGGCCTTGGGAGGAGGGCAAGAGTCCAAAAACAAAAATACCCCAATAGGTGGAACAACAAAACTAGAGTCCATAATCCAAAGAAACAAGAACAAAATTTCAGGAGGCCTGTGACAAAGTAGCCAACGACGAAGCAGCTGACGGTCAGGAGGCCTGCTGTGAAACAGCCAGCGTCGAAGGAGCTGACGGTCAGGAGGTCTGGAACGAAGTAGCCAGCGGCGAAGATGCAGGTGGTCAGGAGGCTGGCAATGTGGCCAGAGGAACCCACGAAGCGAGTGGTCCGGAGGTCTGCGGCGTGGCCAGAGGAACCCAAGAAGCGAGGTCTTCGGAGGCCTGCGGCAAAGAAGGTGGTGTCTAGGAGGTCTGCGGCGTAGCAGCTGGTGTCTAGGAGGTCTGCGGCGTAACCAGGTAGACCCACGAAGCGAGATCCTCGGAGGTTTGTGGTGAGGCCAAGTCAACCCACGAAGCGAGACCCAAGAAGACTTGGGCCTGGCGTCCGGCTTGGACCTAGGCAGCAACCCAGAAGACTTGGAGTCTGGCTGTGAGCCAGGCTGTGGTGAGTCTGGCTGTGAGTCAGGCTGTAGCGAGTCTGGCTGTGGTGAGTCTGGCGTCGTGTCAGGCTTGAGTACCATGAGCACCCCCATAGGAAACCAAGAAGGTGCTCAGGACCTGGTCATGAAGGCAGCCCACCCTCGGGCTCCTCCGGAACATGACGAGGAAGTGGAGGCAGCACGCCCACGTGCTCCTCTGGAACTAGGCGAGGATCTGAAGACCCAGCGGCGGCCAGCTTAGGCAGTGAAGACCTGGCGGCGGCCGGCTAAGGCACTGAAGACTTGGCTGCGTGCTGAGGGTCCTGAATCTTTGCTGCGTGCTGTGGGTCCTGAAGCTTGGCTGCATGCGAGAGCTGAAGCGAAGCTGTTGTGGGCGTCTGCAGCAGACGAGTGCTGAGGCGAATCTGCTGTTGTAACCGGGGTGTGGAGCTGACCCTCCGTAGAAGCAGGAGCGGAGGCGTCAAGCAGGAACCCGGGTGAAACACGCAAAAGCCGAGAGGCAGTAGTCCAACCCTCCGAGAGAGATGAGGAGGCGTTGGCACAGCCCTTCGAGACCGAGACAAAAGCGCCTCGGCGACGGCGTCGTCTCCAACGAGACGGAGCAGGATCAGAGCAGGAAGAGTGCGCTGTGCCGAACTCCGTAATCAAGGAGGAAGTGCATGCTGGAGCCAGTGGCTTACTCTGGGGACGAAGAGATGGTCTGTGGCGCAGCAGACCGGTACCAGGAAGGGGAATGGCTAGCCTGGAGCCCCAAAACGGTGACCACTGCTTCCTCTCCTCTGTGGCCTGACATGAGCTTTTCTCCGCAGCTTGTCTAAGGTACTCCCACAGAGTAATCATACCATTGTCTGTTTGGTCTTATTGGCTGGTTCCTACTGTCGCGTTCTGTGGTTTAAAGTGACCAACGTGCAGACTAGAGGTAGGCAGCAGCATGTTTAATGGAGTCTTCAGCTTTATTTCCAAGGTTCTTCCAAAACGAAGCAAAACATTGCAGGTATTTAACAAAGATGAAGAGTCCACAACTTACAAAATTGGCTTAGCAGGAACATGGTACAAAAAGCACATAGACATGGGTGGCGAACGGAAGGAACCAGCGAGGAACAAACAAAAACAGTGAGGTTATGAACAGAGGGAAGTGGAGTACGGACCAATGAGAAACTGAGGCAGGTAATCAGATGAGATGGAATTCAGGTGTGGACCAGGTAGTAGAGAACTGAGGGAATGTGAATAGTTGCTAAGGTGACAAGGCTAGAAACAAAATGAAACACGAGGGAAGCTGGATAA